GACAAAATGCTTACCTTTGGGGAGAACTGGTGCATTTGGGGACAAAAGTCGAGTCCCCATTTGGTTCAAATGCCATTGGTGAGTTTGGGGTTCGGTTTAGGACCAAGGTGTGAATTGAGTTTAGGGTCAGGTAGAGAGGTTAGCCTTACGGTTTGTGGTCAGGGTTAGGCTGTAGAAATGTAATGGAAGTCAATGGAATGTCCCCAAATGGATTGATGGGCAAATGTGTGCGTGTGTGTGTGTGTGTGTGAGACGAAGCAACACAATGCTATGATACTAACAGATGTAACATATCCTTTCAAAAACTGTCATATATCTCCATATGGGTTGGGATTTGGAGTTTGAGGCCACAAATTATGATTCTCATAATGCCTGAGCTCATTAAACAGATTATAGAGGCTTTGTGTGTGGATTCATGGTCATCCTTGATTAGTTCAGCAGGTTAGAAATGTTTCATCAGAGGATGAGGGGGATCATTAAAAAGAGCTGGTGAAGCCAAAACATGCCAATAAAACCCTCCCATGGTGATAGGTCTGTGACTTTCTCTGCATTATGTAAACGTTTACTCAAATATACACACGCTTCATTTTACTATAATTTGTAAAACAACATGTATAAAATGTTGAACATGCCCTATAGGGGATCAAAACAAGCCGCTCATTATCGTTTTCCCTCCCTCACAAATTTTCCTGCTCTGGAACTAAAAGGCAGGCTGATGTAGAAAATAACTTTTTGTTTGTGTACTCTCAGGTGATCCCTGGAGATTCGTGAAGGTTAGAGGAGGGAGTGTGCAGGAAAATAGATTTGTTTTATCTTTTCTTCTTTTTTTTTTTTTAAAGCCGAATGTGTAAACCTGCTGTGAATTCTGGCAGCCCCCCATGACCTCCCATTATTCATGAGCCTTTTATCATGGCTGCAGCCTGTCACTGACTCACCTCATTTGGCACGCTGACACAAAGGATTGTACATACAATCAAGCCGCACACGTACAGCATCTCCTGATTGCTTTAACGCAAACCTGCATACCTTGTCCTTTGGATGGACTCAGCTGATGAGACGTCCAGATTGGCTGCTTTGCGTGGTCGAGCTGTAACCGAGCACTCCTACACGCTTAATGACACATTCTTCTAAAACCACCGAGCCAGAGGGGTGCTGGGACTAATTTGACAGCTGCCACGGCTCATTATCTGATAAAAGAGACGCTTCTTGGCCCCGCAGTTAAAGCAGTATCAGTGTAGATGTTATTTATAATAACCTCACACATTGCAGGCTGCCAAGGTAATGCATAGTCAAGGTTCCTTTCATTTCTAATTTTATGTTAAATAGAGCCCCGCTCTGAAAGGCCACTTCTGTTTGAGAAGACATCTGCTGCTGAGTTTAACCTTTTAACCAGGCCGCCATCTTTTTTTCTCCTCTCTCCTTCCGTCTCGTCAGACTTGAGGATGGACTCGTTCAGCACCAAGAGCCTGGCCCTACAGGCGCAGAAGAAGCTGATGAGCAAGATGGCCACCAAGAGCGTGGCCAACCTCTTCATAGACGACACCAGCAGCGAGGTGCTGGACGAGCTGTACCGCGTCACCAAGGAGTACACGCGCAACCGCAAAGAGTCGCAGAAGATCATCAAGAACCTGATCAAGATGGTGGTGAAGCTGGGGGTGCTCTACAGGAACAACCAGTTCAACAGTGAGGAGCTGATCCTGGTGGAGAATTTCAGGTGGGCCCCGAGGCTTTTATTCTCTTTTTTACTCCCTTTCAGCCCAGTTGGACAAACCTGGTCCTCGATTGCCGGTGCTGCCATCCTGCATGTTTTACTTTAGGGTGCACGGTATTTGGGGGGAAAAAACTGGCATTGCGATTTTTTTTCTAACCCTGCAATGTATATTAATGTGAAAAAAATACAGGATTTTTTATTAGATGACTTGAGTAACGCTTTAGGTTATGTTGCCATCTTATTGACGATGAGCCTGCACTAGGCATGGGAATGGGTATGAAATTATGACGGGATGATAACCTTGGGCAAAAAAATCACGGTTTCGCGGTATGACGGTATTATGATTACAGCTCTAAAATTTTGTTTTGAAATTTGTTTTTTAAAACAAAAAATTAAATAACTTCTATTATCATATTCAACTTTAATTGTCTTTGGAAGCTGTTTTTAGATCTCAGAGGAGTTATGCTGAAATTTAATTTACCTGTGTACATCTGTACGTATGAATTTTAGCACTTAATGCAATTAGGTTATCCTGATAAAGTTTACATCTAATATAGGATAACTGATTTTCCACTGCTTTTTTAGTTAAGACAAATCAGTATATACTGCACAAGTCTTTTTACTGAAGTAATGTATCACGTTGAGAGTTTTTATTGTGTTTTAAATTTCAGAAGGGTTTTTGCCGTAAAGATGATATAATTATATGCACACAGAAACTAGAAATCACAACTATGAATGCGTGTTTATGAAACGCACGTTCAGCTAACGAGCTGCTCGGCTAAAGGAGGCATTTAGTTTTGTTGCATTTCACTTAAAACTTATCAAATACACAATCCAACAACTCAAACAGTTTTACAGACAAGTTGTGACCGGCACATTAAACCACAGCAACACGGTGATATGTTTCACAATCTGCTGCTAACATTAGCTCGTTCATTTCAAGATAGCATAAATTTTACCTGGAGCTGCTATCATGTCAGACGTGTTGTCTCCACGGTCCACATTGCTGTCGTCTTTACGGCATCTCAAGTATTTTCATATACCATATTTATCGGACTATAAGCCGCACCGGACTACAAGCCACACCCCCAACATAAAAAAACAGTACACCCAAATTTGCCGTCA